CGCCCGCCACAATGCCCGGCTACTTTTTGGTTGCAGCCATCATTGTTGTTTGGCGGGTCCAGGCTGGGGATTCGAACCCGCCACCTTAGGTGTACGTGGCTGGCACCTTAGCCGGTTGAGCTATAGGCGTCGAGCCCAAAATAATGTTTTTTATTACACCGAATGAATAGTAAATATAACTACCCTTTAAAACAGAAGACACTGAAAGTATGCCAATAAATAAAGCTAGAATGGGTTATACTCAGGACAATATACTGCCCTCTCATAAAATGCAACACAAATATTATATATAATATGTAACTAATACTCAGCATCCTCCTCTTACCTGGCCCTATCCACGCTGTTACTTCAATCTGCATGCCAAAGAAAAGTTTTCCTTTTGATGCAGTCAATGCTTTTTCTTGGTCCTCTTGCTGCCGGAAAAATACCAGACCATACCTTTCTTCTGAAGCTCCGTGTATCTGCACTGAAGTCACCTTTCCAAATTTCTTAAATTCATGGAAAAGGCCATCTTTAAGGCTTGTATCTAGATCCCCAAACAAAAGCGAGTTGTTTATTTTTCTCTAATTTAATAACAATTCAATCAAGATTATAGTGAGCTATGATTGTGCCACTGTACTCCAACCAAAGCAAGCTACTAAATCTTTTAGCCAGATTTTTCCCCCTCATTGGATGGGAAATGTACTGGTGTCATAACAAAGGTTAGAGGGAGGCAGGCCTTATACATTATCATGAAGACCCAATCGTCACAGTTAGGAACCACGAAAGTATCTAGCCTGATTTTTGACGTAAGTTTTGTTATCATTAAAAGTTTACTTTTCAAATTAGAACAAAAAAAAAAAAAAAACTCTGAAAAGACATTTTGAAGATTACGGCACAATTCTGAAAACAAACTAACTATTAGATGATAATGTGGGTTATGTGTTAGTTAAGAATGAATGATACTGTGGTTATCCAGAAAAATGCCCTTATATTTCATACGCAAGAGTATGTATTCGTAAGTAGGTATGAAATGACATAACATCGTGGATTCATTTTAAAACTAAAAAAAAACCCCAAAAACTCAATAACAGGAAAAGAGGAAGACAGGAGACAGATAAAGCAAGAATGGCAAAATGCTGATGTTTTCTGAATCTAGGGCATTTTGCTATTCCTTCTACTTTGGGATATGTTTACAGCTTAATAAAAAATTGTACATATTTATAAATAAATACATGTGCTAATCAATTTCTAGCTTTTCAAGCATCACCTCAATGATAAGATTATGCAGGAAGTGTCATATAACATGCATATCTCTTACAGAGGAATCATACTATCTGGGGGTCTTATGTTAATGTGCTACATTATAAAAACTTAAAGGTGGACAAAAAGGCTAGCCAATTTCACCCCCCATCTCCATTTCTAAGTTACTAGGTAATCATGATATTTGTGCCTTAATATCTCTATTCACAAACCTGATATGTAAGTTTCATAGGCAAGTTTAATAAGTAACTTAAGTGATCACTAAAACACACTTAGCCACGAAATACTTAATTTGATCTTTGCTGGCTTGACCACGCACTAGGAGTTCTAACTTGTGTACATGCTTGATATGCCCCCAAAGTAGGAATAACAGCACATACGGTCAACTGTCAATTAAAAGTATCATTAGTAGAGATTATCAAATGGCTTTTAACTAGACTTTTCCATTACTCATGACTTTCCTCATTTAAAATGCTAGTATTATGAAATAATTAGTATTTCACAATAATACTATTTTGAAATAATACATAATTTAATGCTGGAAATTCCTTCATGTAAGTCAGGATGTTAAGCCAACATAATAAAAATAGTATCAATATTACTTTTTTTTTTTTTTAAAGACAGGGTCTTACTTTGTTGCCCAGATTAGAGTACTATGGCATCATCCTAGCTCACAGTAACCTCAAACTCCTAGATCTAGGCGATCCTCTTGCCTCAACCTCCCAAGTAGCTGGGACTACGAGTGCCTGCCACAATTCCCACCTAATTTTTCTACTTTTAGTAGATATGGGCTCTCACTCCTGCTCAAGCAGGTCTTGAACTTCTAAGCTCAAGCCATCCTCCCACCACAGCCTTCCAGAGTGTTAGGATTACAGATGTGATCTGATCTTCCATGCCCAGCATAGTATCAGTATTTTATCATATCAAATTTCCTACAATACCAAGAACTTAATCTAGAAATATATTTATTCAAAAATAAATCATGGCCAAGCACGGTGGCTCACGCCTATAATCCTAGCACTTTGGGAGGCCAAGGCAGGTGGATCGCCTGAGCTCAAGATTTCGAAACCAGCCTGAGCAAGAGTGAGACCCTGTCCCTTAAAAAAAAAAAATAGCTGGGCATTGTGGCGGGCACCTATAGTCCTAGCTACTTGGGAGACTGAGGCAAGAGGATTGCTTGAGCACAAGAGCTTGAGGTTGCTGTGAGCTATGATGCCATAGTACTCTACTGAGAGTGACAAAGACTCTGTCTCAAAAATAGATAAATAATACTTTCTTTATATTCTAGCTACAACCATACAATCTTTATATGTATATATGTATACACACAATGTATATGTAGATGTGTATATATACAGTATGTATAAATGAAATATCACCTACCGTGGTCATAAAGTATGTGTGCAATTTAAAATAGCATGTGATTTTAAATTGCACACAACCTTGTATATACAAGAACAAAAAACTATAACTACATAAAATTATAATGATCACTTGCTTTTTCTTACATGGAATTAAATGTTAATAAACCACTAAAGGAAAACTTGTTTATGTAAGTATAAAATCCAACCTGTCCTATCCCGTTCCTCAGCTATCGCACCAAATGAGTATAGTCAATACAAAATTTTACCTGTAGAGCGTACTGGAAGATTCTGAACCTTGATCCCAAAACTTTTACGGGGCTCATCTTTTTCCAAAGATGAAAGCAATTGTGAAGTGGGTGCTGGAACTGCTGCTGACTGAACTGAGCGCGCTGGAGAGTCATCACTTGAACTACTACTGGAATCACTGCTGCAGAAGGGCAACAACAGCAAATGTTAGTGAGAAGACAAAGAGACAATGGGCAGTATATTCTTAAAATTGAGAAGTACCAAAAACTAACAGGCTACACTTCAAGACTAGGATTTCTGGAGGCCCTACATTCTCCACGCCTATCTCATACTCCAGAGGAGCCAAAAGACAGTGAACATGTGGAAGCAAAAGTAACTAAAATTCTTTTACCATGACACGCAATCTAAGAGGTAAGTGATGCATTCTGTGAATAATCTGAACAACTTTTTTCAAATGAAATAAGACTAGTGAATACAATTCACTTAGTGTAATAATAATAGAATAGTGGCTATATGGGTTTTGGATTCAGAGATCTAGATTCAAATCTTGGCTCAGATGTAACGTACGTGTTGTCCCTGGACAAATCACTTAACCTCTTGCTAAGCCTCAGTAAAATTTGTTTCCTATCATAATTTTATGGCCAAAGTTAGTTCATGTTAACACAAGACTCCAGCCAACATAATACAACTGAATGAAAATAGTATTTCTAAGATTTCTTCATACCAAATTTTCCTCATTACCAAATGTATACAATTGAAATAATAACAGTACTTATATTTCACAGGGTTAAGAATCAAATAAAATAACCCATAGGTTTAGAGAGTCTGGAATATGACAGGTATTCAGTAAATGAAAAAGTTCTAGGCTAGACATGTGGCTCGTGCCTATAATCCTACACTCTGGGAGGCCAAGCTGGTGGATTGCCTGAGCTCACAGGTTCTAGACCAGCCTGAGCCAGAGTGAGACCCTGCCTCTAAAAATAGCTGGGTGTTGTAGGGGGTGCCTACAATCTCAGCTACTCGGGAGGCTGAGGCAAGAGAATCACTTGAGCCCAAGAATTAGAGGTTGCTGTGAGCTATGACACCACAGCACTCTACCGAGGTTGAAAAGTGAAACTCTGTCTCAAAAAAGAAAAGAAAAGGTTCTGCTCTGTTACTGTTAGTTGTAGTTAGCAATAGTACTATTATCTCATGAGTAACATGATTTTTAGGAAAATTAATATTCAATATTCAAAATAATCTTCAAGGTAATTTTAAATTTTTTTGACAGTTTTACTTTGTCACTCTGGGTAGAGAGTTCCATCGCATCACAGCTTACAGCAACCTCAAACTCTTTTTTTTTTTTTTTTTTG